TTACCGTAAAAAATACGCATAAAAAAAATATGATGACGCGCGTGCGATCATTCTTTTTGAAATCCCGTACCTGATTTTAGCAAGTTCACTGTATAGCAGTATATACTATCCCGTCGTTTAACCTTTTATCTGGTTTGCACCCCTCTCTGTTTTCTGCAGGGACAACGCCATTGCGGGATATCTAGTCTGCAACTCACGGTGCCCTATTTATTCACCAAACACAAAGGGTGCCGCAGAGCGCGTTTTGTCGAATTTTTTAATTGCCGCTTGTATATCGCGCGTTATTTAGATAAATTTCTATCGTAAATATTTTAAAAATTTATTTTATAATACATTTTTGTTAGTATTTCTAAAATTAGAATCGAATTTATCATAAAATAATGGCCGATTGAAATTTATCAAAATATTGCGTGGATGGAATAGCCCTCGGATTGACCTATCTGCAATTCAAAGACCAATTAACTTGCGACGTATATAACGTTATGCGTATATCTAATATTGAAACGACCTGTTGCATCATAATATACTTTCAGACGTGTATATCGTTATATTGGGGGCACGGAGGCATACATTTATAATCGATTCAGAGAAAATAAAAAACACTGATGGGGTTGTGTTGTTCGCACACGATCGAGTTGGAAAATGTATTTGAAGGGATAAAGGGCAAAAGGGCACACTGTCCGGATGTTCGGGAATGTTGTTTTCGAAAATGATTTTAACGTTTTTTTCGTGTAACTGAAAGTCACTTAAAACCTCATATACCCACGATTGTGGTTAATATGGATGGCTATAATCTAATCGAAAGACGTGGAAGTTCGGCAGCGGTGCACTTTCAGAGTAGCCTTAAAGTGAAAAAATACGTGTTATACTATACCAGAAATATAGTGCTTTTACAACCGATCCCGGCATTAACTTTGCCTACTGTTTATTACTGCAAAATCGCAACCCCTTATAGAACACCCTGTCTAGCAGACTCTTACCCGTAACCATTCCAGGACCGTCCTGGGAATTTATCTATCTACACTAACAAGTATGTTTTCAATCTTCTTCGCCGAGCAATTCCTGAAACATGCACATAATTAATACACAGTATCATAGTATCATTATTAATACACAAAATATTAAATATAATAATTATAAAGTATCAGTCACTTAAAAAATCGTGACTATCGCTAATGTCGTCACTAATCGTTTTCGCTGAATGATATGAGGCAATATCCCACACAATAACAGTATTTGGCGATACTTGGCAATAGTTTATATTCAAACCATATATTTCCGCGGTCATGTTTTCTTGGTAATCCACACTTGAATCTTTGACATTTTTGGTAGGAAAAAAATAGGGCATCTTCCACCCAACCATTTTTGGACCCAGCACGAAGAATTATTATGCGTTTTCCGCGAGAAGGCGGCAAGTCTAGTACTCACTTGTTATTGTTATCACGCCATGCTTTTTTTACTTTGTCGTGGGTGTCGAACCACCTTTCGTCCAAATACACTATTGGCCTCCGTTGCAAAATTCTTTGAGATTCCATTCTTAATGGAGAATAAACATCTGTTGGGATGGGTTTTCCGACGGTTAAGGTACTTTAAAATACTTGAAACGCCAGAGGAATAAATGCACTATATTTTTGGTCGTATTATAACTACTTGTAATTGTCGCTTACTGGAGAGCCTTTTAGTAACTTGTTGCTGTTTTACCGGTGTAGTGCAAATCGCAAAATATTATTAGATTATGTCTGAAATATCGCCGATATTTAATTACATTATTGCAGAATGTTTTTTATACCTATCATATGACACGATCGACTTCCTCTTCGTAGTAAATAACTTGCAATTGGTGAAAAACTGTCTTGTGATTAATACAGGTTTTATTAGTTTTTTGTGAGTTATATTTGTAGTCTACAGAGTCGAAAAAAAAGTTGACACTTTCAGGTCAGCCTATTACTGGCGCTGACAAAGGTTCTTCACCAACTGGTCATAATATAATTTTATCATATAGGCAGCAGTTCGTTAGAACTAATATCGGTATATCTGTTGTATCTCTTGTATACATTTGATATGTCTAACAAGGTCGAATTTTCTCAAATTCATTCATATGCTGATGATAACCAAGCTGTTCACACATTCAACTCAATTATTTATGATTAAGTCGAAGCCAATTTTCGTTTGGATCTTAAAAGTCTTTCTCAATATAGTAAAAAAACGATCTACAGCTAAACTCTAAAAAAACAAAAATTATGTTATTTTATCCCCCTGAAAGCTATGTTTTTTAATATAATGTATGATAATAAATTTACAAATGAAGCAAAGAACCTAATTAATATTATTATTATTATTACAAATGGCAATAATAAACTGCCGACATCCGTTCCGTCCAATTCATAATAAAATTTATTTGGAAATGGCGTTGTTTATTTTATACTTTCGTCGACGATAAGAATTGTGTTTGTCTCAGCAATATCCAACCTCCAATCTCTTTGATGAGTATTGAATTGAGAAAAACATTCGTCTACATTATGATTATAATTTGTTGAATAACAAGTTGGAGCGATTCTTTGGTGACCCCGAAACATTTACCTAGCAAAAATTAGCCATGTTACAAATTAAAATCTATTTCGGCCAAAATAACATACCCACTAACACACTACTAATAATTGTTGACTATTTATATTTTCGCTCTGCATGGTTTCACTTTTCGACTGACTGGCCAGGGAGCAGTGCCTTCTCGCGATTTAAATGAATTTAAAGTAATAAAAATTTTAAATTTCGTAACGCATTGTTAACCAAACTAGTGTAATACATATTTTGATGTTTTATTTACTCTAGAAATAAGCTGAACATCCCTTGTAAATTTTTAGGTGGCTAAATATTGGATCCCCTGTACATTTTATAGCAATATATAATCACTTTTTGAAGGGGCCGATATGATTAACTCATGTGCCGAATTTTAATCAATTTTAATAAGCCAATTTTCAGTTATTGAATTAAATATGATCGTAAAATTGTATAAGGGCAATACATCAAACACGAGCGACGATATTATCAAAATTTGACGTCGTAAAGCTGGACAATGACATATCAAATAAACGTTGGTCTACAATAAAGGTATACCTAGACCGACACCTACATCCTACAGTTATACCTATACCTATAGCGAAACCTATAGCTCTGATTATAGCTATATTTATACCTATAACGAAACCTATACCTATACTTATACCCATCGTTATACCTATACCTATAGGTATAGCCATACCTATACCTATACCTGTAGCTATACCTCTACATCTACCTCTACCTGTACCTATACCTCTACCTTTAGCTATGCATCTACCTCTAGCTATGCCTCTACCTCTAGCTATGCCTCTACCTCTACCTATGGCTCTGCCTCTACCTCTACCTCTACCTATGGTTCTAGCTCTACCTATAACTCTACCTCTACCTATACCTCTACCGATACCTATACCTATATCTCTACCTCTACCTATTCCTCTACCTCTACCTATACCTAATAACCATTTTGAAATATTTGACCTTGGGATGCGCCTGCTTAAACAATTTTTGTTATTTCTGAAAATTTGGTTGATGTTTTTGTTATTGTGGTCTACTTTTATACGGGGTGTCCCCAATTACGCAGCAAAGGTTCATATTTTTTAAGCCGCTAACGTCTTTTTTTCGATGGAACACCTTGTAACTTTAAGTGAGCGGGGATATGGTGCGCAATACGTATAAGTGCAATTTGCTAGAGAAATAATTTATGGACTTGATAACACTTAAAGTTACAAGGCAGTGAAAAAAAAACGATTTGACATAAATACGGGACACCATACATATAATATGGTTCGAATTTGAAATGTACAAAAAGCAACTATTTCTGAATGTATGGTGTCAAAGTTTTACTTTAATCTTTGGAGGTAGACGTTTGCAACATTTATTGTGATTTTAATCTGTTTTTTGACCCCGTTTTTATTTAGTGTGCCTCTGTTAAATATTGTTTAATAATGATTTATGTTTGGTAAAAAAAGTTATTTTACAAAATTGTGTCATTTTTGCTTGAAACCAGAATATTTCGAAAACGGGTTTTTCCTAGTGAATTCCTAGAAAGGATTGGCTTTTTTTTTTTACAAAAAAAAAGCCAATCAACGCGATCAAAACTAAAAAATACGTCAAACTCTTTGCAAATTAAGTTTTGGTTTTCGATAAAAGAAAATGCAATTTGATCGTCGCCAATCGATTGGTTCTAATGAAATTGTCCCCGATTAATCGACCATTGCCATTTTTGAATAATTAAACAGCGGATTATATGGTATTACGTATCGGTCGTAGCCGTCCCCCATATGAGGCTAACGTTTGTTGTATTATCGACGTAAATTTGTTTAGTTTATTTTGTACTTAAAATCGACTTCTCGTGTATAGTTGACGCGTTACCTTTCTGGAATGACGTCATTTTTTGTGATTTCTGTTTAATCTATGTCAATTGACAGATATTGTCGTTTCGTTATAACAGTCAATGGCAAGTTTTGATTAGGTTAATGATATATGTATTAAAATTGGGAAAAAAAACAAGCTACAAATGGGGCAATTACAACAAGCCATACAACAATCCAAAATGTTAAGGAAAGAGGATAAATCCTTTGCCTCCAGAATATCTCAAAAGCAAAAAGACGTAAAAACAAAAAATTATAAAAAGTATGGGGTTTAAGTGAAAGGATTCCAAATAATAGAACATACCTGATTGATTTAACACACATCGTCCGCAATTTCTTCAGGAAATATATCAAAAATAAAAATTTAGGAAAAAATTAAAAAAAGGACAACTCGTTTCAAATTTTAACCAACGGAAACATTAAAACGAAAGACGTCGTTTATTTTTTGTTATTTAATAAAATAATTAGGACCGTTATTAGCTTGCGCAATCGCGGCCAACGTTATAACAGCCGTCGACATTTTCAAAACCCGTTTTCGTGCCGAAAATTAAAACCGTGTGTCTTTTTCAGATGGAGGTTCAGATGAAGGAAACGGCATGACAGGTAATTACCATTCTAGAAATTGTTGCGGATGAAATGCACAGTCAAAATTTTGTATTTTTGGTAAATCAAATTGAATATTTTGACGCAAACATTTATATTAACAAAAAACTGATTCATGATAATGAAATTAAACATTTGGTTGTTATATTTGACTCGAATTTCACGTTTTATACATATACCTATTACATAATGAATACATTTTCCAGCAATATTAATTTTATATCTGGAATAGGGAAAAATTTGTCAATTAAAATTAAAATCAGCGTAGCTGCTCACTGTTCAATTTGCACAATTGCAGATTGTTCGAAATAGGGCCGTGAGAAATATACTACAATGTAACAGATATACGCGAATCCAAAGCGTGTTGAGTGTTCTTAATTTCTTGTCCTTAAAACAAAAAATAATGTTTAATGTCTGAATTTATTTTCTTACGATACAAGAAATTGTGGTAATTTTATACCGAGAGAATGTTATTCTAGTCTAAACCGTTGTTATATTAAAAACTGTAATACTCTTAATAAATTTGAAAAGACTTTTAAGACGTCATGTGCATAGCTCTTAGTTTCTGCTTACGTTTTTATATTTAAAATTTCCATTTTGCATTTTTATGCAGCACAATGCTAAATAAAGGTTATTATTATTATTATCGTAATGTTTTTGCACTTGTGAAAGGTAATATTTTTTTGGAAATTATTAAAATACTGGAAAAACTATTAGGTTTAGGTGTATTATTAATAAAAAAAAATGAAAAATTTCAAAACTAATTTAAAACAAAACTCAAAAATAGGATGTTCCCTTTAAAAAAATGTATGTTTTATTGGTCACGCTTTTTTGAGCCACTCTGTGTACCTTTGAAATAATTTTTCTCATAACTTGCGATAATATCGTTGACTCTGTACGTATCCAATGAGTGTCAGTAAAACTAACTGGCCGTTTGGGATGAGAGCTTTCGTGGCATTTATTTATCTTGTGAATATCATTTACTTATTTTGTATTCGGAACACTGCGCGCGCATTACAAGCCAGTAGTAGCAGCTAGACAAGAACGACTGCTATAACCTAGGGATTTTTCATTGTCCATAGAAACTGGTTATAAATGAAACTGTTTTTTTCAGCGTTTAAGAGACAGATAATCGGTATACCGGAACTTCTGGAAAACGGGTACCTAAAGTATCCTACGACATTAATAGCTAGTAAGTTGCTTTTTCTTAATTTTCTTTTTTTTTATTCGATTAACGATTAAGAGGAATTTAATTCTCCGTGACCAAAATTTAAAACGCTCTCTTCTTTTGAATAGAAAGCGCAGTGCTATAGTTCCGGGAGAAATGGACCACCTATTGAAAAACTTTCAAAAACTTTTTTAATTATTCGAATTAGGCTGTGCAAAAAAGTATAACATAAACATAAGCTTTGCTAATCTGAGACAATGAATAATTATAAAAAATAAAATAATAAAAATTTAAATTGGCCCATATCATAGAGATGAACCAACGAATATAGGAGAGATGTCCATCATATAACCATCTGCATTGCAACCAGTCTTCCTTTTTCCCATTAAAGCTATAATCTTCTTCATCGTTGACGTTATATTGGAGTGGTTTTCCAGGTGTTAGTTTTCCTGTAGGAGGTTCTTCGGAAACTTCGCTTTCTAGCTCCATTTTGGAAGGGCCTGGTTGAGGAAATCACGTCCACGATGAGGGGTTCGGGGATACATTTCTTGCGAAGAAGTTTCTGTTTCTTGTTCCTCAAGTTCGTTTCTTGGATGTACTGCAGCCTCATCTGGTGGATGCGTTAAAAAAATATGATCAGCTATTTCATCCGCATTGTAAGACCAAATTCATGTTGCCTGAAAGGTCGATACAGCATTAGTTACTGTACCACCTGATCCTTGTTTATCGCTCAAATGCCATCTAGCGATATTGTCTCTTGGTTTTTGTGCATAACTAACCGAAAAATCATAAAGTAAGCTTTAGGACCAACAACGAAAAATTTTTCCTGTCACAAAGGACATCCGCCAAGTTATTCTTAAAATGCCTAGAAACCTAGAAATATTTTTGTAATTTGTAATTTACGTTCGTTTTATATGCTTGCTATAATGGTTCAATTTTAATATAATGTTTGCTTTTGACTCGCAGAAGTGTATTATTTTTTACATTTTTGTTAATCCGACCCCGTTGTTGTTTTATTTGCGTTTCCTGGTATCCCAATCATTAAGTGATTTTTTGGATATTTAAAATTTGAGATCCCAACTTTACAGTTGATTTATATTTATAAAAATGGAGTAAAATTTTAATTAATAATGAATTCTATTTATTTTACAAATTAATAAATAAAAAATTGAATGTCGAAAAAATATTTTTTTATATTTCATCCTGGAGCCAGTTTCCCATAGATGTTATTTTTACTATTTTATGTTTTATTATTTAGAGGTGGCCATGGCGGGAATGACGATGCCAAAGTTATTTCGCCATGTAAAATTACTGTCATTAGTTCATTAAGTTTGTCATTAATAATGGAAATGGTGTTGTGTGATTATGTAACACATGATGAGACGGTGTTTATGCCCCTAATTTAGCTCCGCCCCCCTCAAACAATATATTGGGTTTTTTTTTCGATGTATACAACTTTAAATTGGCATTACTGTTCAAGATGGCGACCGATTTAACAGCTGTCAAGTGATTTATTCTCAGTTTGGTTTGGCAATTCATCATGAATAGACTCACGCCTGAACAACGCTTGCAAATAATGCATTTTATCGTCGACAAAATCGTCCATCAGATAATTAATTCGATTAACCATTGAACGTTTTCGCACCACGTTTACTCTTATTGATAACTCGCATCCCCAGAGACGCCATACGGTGCGTACAGAAGAAGCTATTCCTGCTGTAGAGCGTAGCATTGAGGACGACCCGAATGAGTCTATGCGCCATCGAGCACAGGAATTGGATCTGTGTCCATCCACTTTATGGAAGATTTTGCGGAAGGATCTTGGTTTACGTGCTTACAAAATCCAACTCGTGCAAGAATTGAAGCCAAACGATCATCAAGTAAGGCGTAGATTCGTCGAATGGGCCCTAAACGAGTTGCTGTTGTTCCCGATTTTCATAAGCGAATTTTGTTTAGCGATGAAGCGCACTTCTGGTTGAATGGCTACGTCAACAAACCAACAACAATCCTCAAATGTATGTCGAGACACCGTTACATCCAGAAAAACTGACTGTTTGGTGCGCTTTATGGGCTGGTGGAATCATTGGTCCGTAGTTCTTCAAAAGCGATGATGGCCAGAACGTTCAGTCAATGGTGATCGGTATAGAGCTATGATTACTAACTCTTTCATTCCTGAATTGAATAACCATGATGTCCAGGAGATGTGGTTCCAACAAGAAGGCGCAACATGTCACACAGCTCGTGCCACAATCGATTTATTGAAAGACACGTTTGATGACCGCCTAATTTCACGTTTTGGACCTGTGAATTGGCCTCCAAGATCTTGTGATTTAACGCCGCTAGACTACTTTCTGTGGGGCTATGTAAAGTCATTGGTCTATGCGGATAAGCCACAAACGCTTGACCATTTAGAAGACAACATTCGTCGTGTTATTGCCGATATACGGCCAGAAATGTTGGAAAAAGTCATCGAAAATTGGACGTCCAGATTCGACTACATCCGCGGCAGCTGCGGCGGTCATATGCCAGAAATCATATTTAAAATGTAATGCCACAAGATTATCTTTCGGATAAATAAAATTCATGTTTTATTGCAACTTAAAGTTCTATACATCGAAAAAAAACACCCCTTATAAGCAGGCACAGAGTAATATGGGAGCCAGTTTCAGTCAAGCTCTGAAGAAGCCAACAGGATGATTGAAGTTCGACTCAACAAAAACCGACGCAGGAGGAATCCAGAAGTGTTGTAAAAAGTATTACAGTGGCCTGTGGAAGTTTCTTTGAAATAAATAAATAAATAAACATACTTTGGGACAAAAAACGGAAATTAGGAAATATTTTAAAGAGGGAAATGGTGAAATACCATTATTGTGTTCGCTGAACTAACAAAATCAACAACGTATAGCCGTTAAAATATCCCGAATATGATAGAAAATATTCAGTGTTTTGTTAAAATCATAAAGCAAAACAGGGTTTGTGCGTTCATAAATAATTCCCGTTCCGGGTGAAATATAATCGTTTAAATCCATGGACTTTTGCATTTTTAACCATTTCGCGGTAAACCCGCCTAACGGCTCTTCAATAATTCTAAACGTCCTGTTTCGTTTAAAGGTACGAGCAAACAATCGTTATTTGCTTGCAATTTAGTCGCACTTAGACGCATGGTTATTGAATAATTACCGTTAGCGTACGGACAATTATGTTTGGTCGCGTTTATTAGTGGTTGCGGTCTTCCATCTTGAATCTCTCGGGTATAGTTACTATTCATTTGACATTTTATTGCCATCGTAAACCAAACGGTGTCGTGTCGTCTTGAGGTCGCCAAATTCAAACCCGGCACTGAGTGTGAATGAGGCGATGTTTTTTTTCTTTTCTTTCTTTTTTCTCTTTGCTTTGTTTGTCGTTGATCACGATATTTCGACTTTTTTGGCATCCTTGGTTAAAATGAAAGTTACTTTCTTAAGAAATTCCTACTCGAATTTTGCATAGTTTATTCAGAAATTGAGGTTTTGTGTTTTTTTTTTTTTATTTTGATTGTCCCATATAAGATTTATTGTTACGCTACTGATCCAGGTATTGTAACGAAAATTTAACCACATATTAAAGGAGGTGATGCACTATTCAATCACTTTGATAGATGCGCTTCAGCTTATACAGGGTGTCCCAAATAGGTGGTGCCGTTTTGGCGAATTCAATTAACAAAATCTCAAAATTTTCAAACAAAAAAGTTTGTAATTTTTAAACTTTACTTACTATTTGAGATATTCGAGGTGTAAGATATATACGGGTTCTTATTCTTCTTCTTATTCCTACGTTAAGTCCAATGACTTGTGTTTACTGGGTAATCTTTAAACTTATTTGTGATTCTGATGACCAGCTATCTTGCCATCTTTTTTGTGGTCTTCCTCTTGATCTTTTCCCCTCGGGTTTTCCATCTCTTGTGATCTCTGCTAATCTATGCTCTTCCATTCTCGTTACGTGTTGATTTCAATTTCTTCTTCTCTCTCGTCCCCATCTGACTATATCTTGAATGTTACATTGTTGCCGGATATCTTCGTTTCTTAGATGGTCTCGTCTAGTCTAGTCATCTTAATGTTTTCATTTCAGTTGTTCTTAGCGCTTGTTTTGTTTTCTTTATATCGGCTCTGGTTTCTATGGCATACGTAAGTATTGGTCTTATACATGTTTTATAGAATCTTGTTTTCGTTTCTATTCCTAGATGTTTATTTCTCCACACTATATACCTTAATGCACCTGCTGTGGCTGCCGCTTTCCTTACTTGGTATATCGTCTCTTGGTAAATATCTCGGTGGCTTGTTTCACCTAGTCCTAAGTATCTTGACATTATTTGCTTTATGATTGTCCCTTCTATCTCCATCTTACATCTTATTCATTCCTTAGATACTGTTAGACATTCAGTTTTCTCTGTAGATATTGCCATATTTATTAAATATGTGTAACATTCTTTGTAGGCTGACTTCGCTATTAGATATCAGTACCGCATCGTCCGCGTAACATAGAATCGTGATATTTGTGTTTCCTATTTTGCATCCTGTTAGTCTTTTCACTTTTTCTATCATTTTGTCCATAATCAGGTTAAATTCAAACGGACTTGAGCTGTCTCCTTGTCTTATTCCTGTGTTTACCTTTATTTCTTCAGATACCTTTCCCTCAGCTTTTATTTCAGTGGAGCAGTTGTAATTGGGTTCTACTATGATTCTAATTATTTTAGGAAATACATTTTTTTTCTTTAAGTAAGTATGCTATGTCATGAAGTCGTATTTTATCAAGCGCTTTTGTTAGGCCCACGTAACACATGAAGATAGGATTGTTGTATTCTATTGACTTTTCCACTAACTGGCGAATTATAAAGATGGCATCTGTTGTTGACCTCTTCTCTCTAAAACCTTGCTGTTTTTCGCATATCGGAATTGTTGCTCTTAGTTCATCTGCTATGATTTTGGTGAAAATTTTCGATATTGTATCAATGCAATGATATTGCTCTATAATTTGATGGCTTCTTC